TATGTAGGAGCCAATATGGGCATCTAGGTCCCGCTATTGGTTATTGACCGGAGACGTGTCTCGATCATGTCTACATTATTCTCGAACCCGTAGGGTCCGCACGCTTAAGGTTACGATGACAGTTATATTATGAGTTTATGCATTTTGATGTACCAAAGGTTGTTCGGAGTCCCGGATGTGATCACGGACATGACGAGGAGTCTCGAAATGGTCAAGATGTAAAGATTGATATATTGGAAGCCTATGTTTGGATATCGGAAGTGTTCCGGGTGAAATCGGGATTTTACCGGAGTACCGGGAGGTTACCGGAACCCCCCGGGAGCTATATGGGCCTTAGTGGGCTTTAGTGGAAAGGAGAAAGGGGCAGCGCAAGGTGGTTGTGCGCCTCCCCCCTTCCCCTAGTCCTATTAGGACTAGGAGAGGTGGCCGGCCCCCCTCTCCCTCTTTCCCCCTCGGGGAATCCTAGTCCAACTAGGATTGGGGGGGGGAGTCCTACTCCCGGAAGGAGTAGGACTCCTCCTGCGCCCTCCTCCTGGCCGGCGCCCCCTCCCCCTTGGCTCCTTTATATACTGAGGCAGAGGCACCCCAGAAAGACACAAGTTGATCCACGTGATCTATTCCTTAGCCGTGTGTGGTGCCCCTAGCCACCATAGTCCTCGATAATACTGTAGCGGAGTTTAGGCGAAGCCCTACTGCTGTAGTACATCAAGATCGTCACCACGCCGTCGTGCTGACGGAACTCTTACCCGACACTTTGCTGGATCGGAGTCCGGGGATCGTCATCGAGCTGAACGTGTGCTCGAACTCGGAGGTGCCATAGTTTCGGTGCTTGATCGGTTGGATCGTGAAGACGTATGACTACTTCCTCTACGTTGTGTCAACGCTTCCGCAGTCGGTCTGCGTGGGTACGTAGACAACACTCTCCCCTCTCGTTGCTATGCATCACCATGATCTTGCGTGTGCGTAGGAAATTTTTTGAAATTACTACGAAACCCAACACTACCCCTCTCTTGTGGAGATATGTTCGATGTAATCTTCTTTTTACGGTATGTTTGTTGAGACCGATGAATTGTGGGTTTATGATCAACAAGTCTATCTATGAACAATATTTGAATCTTCTCTGAATTCTTTTATGTATGATTGGTTATCTTTGCAAGTCTCTTCGAATTATCAGTTTGGTTTGGCCTACTAGATTAATCTTTCTTGCAACGGGAGAAGTGCTTAGCTTTGGGTTTCAATCTTGCGGTGTCCTTTCCCAGTGACAATAGGGGCAGCGAGACACGTATTGTATTGTTACCATCGAGGATAACAAGATGGGGTTTTCTTCATATTGCATGAGTCTATCCCTCTACATCATGTCATCTTGCTTAAGGCGTTACTTTGTTTTTAACTTAATACTCTAGATGCATACTGGATAGTGGTCGATGAGTGGAGTAATAGTAGTAGATGCAGGCAGGAGTCGGTCTACTTGTCTCGGATGTGATGCCTATATACATGATCATACCTAGATATTCTCATAACTATGCTCAATTCTGTCAATTGCTCAACAGTAATTTGTTCACCCGGCGTAGAATACTTATGCTCTCGAGAGAAGCCACTAGTGAAACCTATGGCCCCCGGGTCTATCTTTATCATATTAATCTCCTACTACTTAGTTATTTCCTTTGCTATTTACTTTGCCTTTATTTTAATTTGCATCTTTATCATAAAAATACCAAAAAAATTATCTTATCGTATCTATCAGATCTCACTCTCGTAAGTGGTCTTATAGGGATTGACAACCCCTATTTGCGTTGGTTGCGAGGATTTATTTGTTTTGTGCAGGTGCGAGGGACTCGCGCGTAGCCTCCTACTGGATTGATACATTGGTTCTCAAAAACTGAGGGAAATACTTACGCTACTTTGGTGCATCATCCCTTCCTCTTCGGGAAAACCAACGAGTGCTCAAGAGGTAGCAGATGCCAACTTGGCGAAGTGGAGGGCATCACATTGAGGTCGATGGCCCATGGCATGAACATGCTGGAAGTGATCGGGGACAGGTGGTGATGACCTAGTTGCGTGGCCGTGTAGTAGTACGAAGGTTGCATCTCCGACTGCCAAGTTGACGATTGCATCGGTCGTGGTGGCGGCGCCCTACATCACCGCCTGCTGGCCTATCACCCCCGTCCCGGCCCGCTACCCTTCTTAGGAGATGGCGGATGGCCGGCCTCCAAAGCCTCTTTATCCTTGCTCCTTTGGACACCGCGACTGGCATTGCGGGTCGCCGAGTTGATCTTCCGGGCGGCCACCACATTTGGATCCTCCTCATCCGGTTCGACAATGGTACAAACAGATCCATGTGGCGACTGACGACAAAAAGGGCGGGAACATGGGTGGACGGTGGCGGCGATCAGCTAAAGAGGGTGGAAATGCGTGGGCTTTGGCACATAAACAATGCGGATGTGGCCAAATGTGCGGGCTCCGGGTGGGGTTTTAGGTGGGCCGGGGTTGTTGGAGTCCTGCATGGTGGAGGTCCGGACTAGCGCAAACCTCCTCCACTTTGCATCCGGTTTGCGGGAATTCAGACACCCGGACGCATCCGCTAACGTTTGTGGCATAGCATTGGATGGCACAAAACATCCGAACACATTGGTCAAGATGTTTGCGGGCGTTTTGCGGACTGGCTATTGTCCCTGAACAACAGTGCGGTCTCAATCATAAGAAAGGTGTCGTCATCTGCGGAACGAAGGTGTTAGGAGCCTATCAACCACCTCCTTCGATACAGGCATAGTGTCGGTTTTATAGGACTTTACTGTCGATATGTCGGTTTTCTTTCTCCTTTTGCCATACTCTTTATGCTTGGATGTGTGCATCCTAACTATGTGGAGACCAGATGTATCTGCTTGATGCTACATTTTGAGTTAATAAATACACCTTTTATCGAAAGACGGCCTATCAGCCAAGGTTTATTATTATTATTATTATTATTATTATCTGTCATGTCTACTATAAGTTGGTCGTGTGGCGTTTTTATCTCGCTTTGGCCGTTTGCGTTTTGCTAATGAGGATAATGTCCTTGACCTGCCTTGTCCTACACACAGGAAGCTGTAAAGCAAGGCTGCTTAGAATAGTGTCACTTGACAAACTGAGCTTCAGGTCGGGAGCTGGGAGGGACGGCATGATTGGATTCTCCCGCTACGCCACTTATCAACACTAATCAATAGGGTTAGAGAAGCTTGATGACAGTTTGGCGCGCACTCACCTGGCCATCTGGCGTCCTAATCGCAGCTGCATGGTAACTCAACTGTGCAGCTGATACCTGAGTCGCTTTGCTTTCGTTTTCTGGATTTGGATTTCATTTTCCCTCACGTCTTTGTTGGAAACCGTTGCGAGAGAGACGACCACTCATGGATGGATTCAACATCAGTACTACGCGACATCCGTCATCATAAAACCCCCCCTCTCACTGTAGTGTCGGCAGACGGGGTAGATATATCTAGCTGCCATTCTGCCTAGATCCTCCAAATTCTGCACTAGCTAGAAGCCCTATACATTACAAGAAAAAAATGTATATCTTCCTCACAAGAACTTTCTAGAAAAGAGAGAGTTGGATTGGTTCAGACGACAGCAGGAACAATGGTTGATTGAACTTTTGAACAAATAACAAAGACAAGAAGCTTATAAATTTCTTAATGAAAAAGCCCTGATATGCCGTTGGGACTGGCTGGAGGCATTATTTTCCTGTTGCAATTGGGAGCCTTATCATCTTCTCTTGCGCCAGCTTCAGATGGGATATACTCCTATATAGCAATCATATACAGTACGGTATGGTGGTCCCCACATGTATATACGTACGCCGAATCGTCCAAAGCTTGCACTGTTAGGACGTATACACACAGCACGCTGGGTATTGATTACCGGCTTGTATTTTGTCTCCTGTTGATGTCTCCCAGACCAAAAGAGATGGCCGGACGATCCAATGTAGTAGGCTACAGTCGCACGTAGTGTACGAGACACACTTGGTACGATCTTATTCCGCAGTACTGGTACTGGTCCACCATGCCTGTGATTAAGAAAAGAATGGCAGTTGTCAGTTGAACAGCCTGGCCAATCTTATAGCTACAACGAGTTGGTGGCCTCACTGTCAGGGATGATGATAATACCGGTGCACTTTCAAGGCTTGCTTGACAAGCCTCTAAATGCAGACAATCTTCTGCAACAACCCAGCTGCCTCGGCAAAAATTCTGGTTATACTCCGCCAACCTGACAACTTTGCTGAAAAAGAATCTAAACTTTGGACGCTAAGATGTCTGTCTGTCAGTTTAGGGAAGAGTCTCAAAGTTTCCGTCAGATGCTTAGTGCTATGATCACATGTGTCCAGAATACGTGCCACATGCACGTACAACACAGCACGTACGTACGTACGTACGATGTGGAATATTTGAAGCCCGGTCCAAGAGTTGGGACGAATGATTCTGTCTGTTAGCTCAGATGTCGCCCCACATGTGAGTGTGATGTGATCTACATCTACTGTCAATGTGTCAACCAAAGAGAGCAACAACCCAACGTACGGAAGAAGGGGAATACGATAGGGGGAAAGTAATGCGTGAACTGAACCTGACAGAACTGGCCTTAATTAAGCAAGAGATTCCTCACACTACATCAGCTTTGATATAGGACGTTCATGATCCATCGTACAATATGCTTCGTGGTAGTAGTATGCTTGCTCGTGGTTTGAACTCGTGGCCACATTAGGTATAATGAGCCCGAGACGCAACGCATTTGCTCATATGGTCAGTATCAAAAATAGCACCAGGACGGGCATCATCCATCGTGAGAAATCGACGAAAACAAAAGCTAACATCAAGATGCTAAAAAGAAATCTGAACCTAAATCTAGGTAGACTTCCACTTCCAGGATTGTCATATTGCGTAAAAGCAACCAGCACTGCAGCTTCCGAATTTGATTTTCGACGAGTAGATTTGTAGTGGTGGAACCCTCAGCTGAGTACAACTCACAGATTAAGAACAGTCTGCTTCAATGGCAAGTGTTTTGGTGACGCCGGGGCATGGATCTTCTCCGAATCCCTCGTCTGACAGCGAAACTGTACAGCTGTTGATGTTCAGACAGGCCTGCAGAGAATAAAAAGGACCGCTCAGGAAATATACAAACTTTGGTTTGGTCAATCAAATCTAGATCTCTACGTAATGATGATCCAGAAACAGCCCTTAGACACGACTCGCATGGCACGCATGTTAGCTTGGAAATGGAATGTTAAAACCTGCTACATGTCTAATCTGTTCCCAGTTGCACCATTACTGAAGTCTGCAAAGTCAGAGCTGACAGCCATCGAATTCCAAGACTAGATTCATGTGCACCGATCCAAATCCACGTGCATCAGCACTTCTAAGCCAGATTTGATGCTTATCTAGTTCTAGATAAGAACCAGGTGCGGTTTTACGTCGAGAAACCGGAAATTTTACCTTCTCAACAACAGATAGAGAGTCTGGATGGTGGCAGCTTCCCTGTTGGTAGGATCTGCAGGTTCCACTGGGGTCTCCGAAGCTCGCAAACTTGACTGAAGAGATGTTTTTGCCCTTGGGGCAAGACAGCTCTACTTTTGCTGCTACTGGGTTACCATCTGAGATGCTTTTATCCCAGGACTCCAAGTCTATGGAAGGATAGTTCTCCGAGACAAAGGAGCAAACACTTGTCGCGACTCTCCTCGAGAATGTAATCTTCGTGGGATCTCCACCCTGCTCCTCAAAGACCACAAGGGTGTTCCCTGATGGGTGAAACCATGACCTTGGGACGTGGTACCTTTGTTCAAAAGTGAAACAGAAATGTGAAACACAAGAGAACAATCGCATAACATAATTAGGATGGTGAGCTGTGCCAAATGCCGGTCACGTTACCATCTTTGAGTTGGCTTTCCACATCCAGCCCTGCACTTGTCTGGAGAAAATTTTCCTCTGTAGTCACAGCTCGGAGTGCACCTGTCATCAGTAGGACTTGTCCTGGGCCAATACCTCCCTATGGCATTTCCATTCAACCAAACCAGGCCTTTCCCCATGGACTGCATGTCTAGCCCAACTGGGTCATCTCCTTGTGGGACATCAACATTCACCTAGGAAGAACATTGGATTACGACACGTAATAGGATGTGAAGAATTCATCGAGAATATAAAGATCGTAAGATGTTACCTTGTACCATGTCAAAGGCTGATGTTTTGGTGGCTCAGATTGTGGCCTCCACCTTTGGTTATTCCCTTGGTCGGGCTTAAATAAACCGTAGTGTTCACCTTCCAACCCAATCTACCAACAAATACATAACAGAAGCACAGATAAACACCCATCTCGATTATGTCAAATTCTGGGCATAAACTCAGGAACATATACAATGTAGGAGTACTTCCATATTGAGTTCTCAATAGAAGTTCCATATGAAGAATATTGATGACAGTACCTTGTATGCCCAATTATTTGAAGACAAGTCTATGGTTCCATTTTTCATTCCAGAGATGTTCACACTTGTAAGGCCAGCTCCCACCCATTCATAATAGGGTCCTGCACTCTTAGGAAGTGCATAAAGTTACAATCAGATAAGCAATTTTGACTTTAAGTGGCCTGCTAATAGATAGTACTAGAAGTTAACGAAGGGCCATAGGACGATCTTCTCAAAAGTGTGTAAACTGCATACATATGCACATAAAAATAGCATGTAAAGAACAGCATACATATAATGCAATGTTAAATCGTTCATACAGGTACAGAAGCTTACTTTCAATCCAACAGTCATGCTCAGTAGTGCAATTTCATTCTTCCCAGCCTTCAAGTTGATGGGCATATGCACACTGAAACTTGATTCTGAGCCATTACCATATGCACTACCTGAGAAAGACATCCATGGAAGGTAAGTGTGATGACAGAGCAACTCAAACTGAAGAGGACTGTAGATTGTAAAGAACTAGTATCAAAGGGTCAAGAGATGCTGCTGACGACGTATGATTCAACAACCCTCTGAAGAGTTGTTATAACAACCTCTCTACTTCTTAAGATATATTTTGACCATACAAAAAATGTTTATACCCCAAAGAGCAATATAGGCTGAATTAGAACTGCACAAACATTATCTCTCAGTGTAATGTGAGTAAAGAACAGACCTATGAGCATATTATTCAGGAAAGCGTGAACAGCATGGCCTTTGGAGCCGATATTAAGAATGGGATGGTTCCCACTTGCAGGATAACTTTTGTCCACATCAAAACTGCAAATTTCATTCAAAGAATGGGTCATGTACAGAATTGGAAGTGCTTAGGATGGTACAGAACAAAATATACTAGAACATACTCCCTCCATCCGCGAATAAGTGTACATCTAATTTTTGTCTCAAGTCAAAGTTTTAAAACTTTGACCATCTTTCTAGGAAAAAGTAAAAGCATTTATGGCACCAAATTAGTACCACTAGATCCGTTTTGAAATGTACTTTGATAATATATCAATTTGATGTCATATATGTTACTATTATTTTCTAGAAAGTTGGTCAAAATTTTAAAACTTTGACTTAGAACAAAAACTAGATGTACACTTATTCGCGGACGGAGGGAGTAAATAACACTAAGACCTCCCCTCTTTAGTTGATACCAAAAAAGCTTATCAAAATACTAAGAATACATGGTACAGCCTGTAGTAGACGAACCTTGTAGTGTGCCACAGATAATCAGTAGAGTCTTTTGTTGTATTAATATGGTCCACAAATTCATTTCGTACAAAGTCATTTTTATCCCAAATGCCGATTCTCTCTGTGAAAATGCTCCACTGATGAGGTATTGATGCTTGCAAAGTTTCTGGAACCATGTCCACCATCAAAGTTTGAGATCGAACCTGAAGATGATCAATCATCAAGAACCGAAGAAATAAGAGTGTCATCAGCTAATATTGTGTTTCTCAGTTAAGCATTGAATAATCTGATGTTGGCTATATACTTTTCTGAGGAACCATATTGTGAGCTAGTCGTGAGCTATACTTTTCTCCTTTTCAGTTCTTCTGTTTCATTTTCTCAGAAGACCGATGTCCATTTAAACAAGGCTTTGAACCCTTTGGAGGTGTGGTTCCTATGGCTGATAAAATTGTTGTGGCCGGAGTGTTGGTGCCTAATCCTGGTGTCCTTTTAGCCACCAAGATTTGTGAATTCCTCGCCAACCTGGACTCTGAAAATTCTGGAAAGACGATTGGATGCCTCTTGGAGGAAAAAGCTTTGAGGAAGAAGCACAAGACGGGTGGCGCTAACTCTAGATCTGGCATCCTCAAAGGGAAATCTTGCAGGAGCAAAAGCAAGAAGGATAGCGCTAGAGGGGAGGCGCAAATGGTTCCATGATGGATGGCTCTCGGCTTTCTGAGTTGCAGATGTGTGCTCGGTCATGGGTGTGGTTTTCGTCGATGTGTTTTCCTTGAGTTGCATTGTGTCGATTGGTTTTCTTTTGCAGTACAGGGACCCATATGTTGCGGGTTGCAGTAGTAGTGTGTTGGGTGCTTCGGTCCCGTGGCTCCATGATTTGGGAGTAGTTCACATGTGGATGGGGTCGTGCTTTTTGTTAAGCTTCATGCACTAGCCAGCGCAACCAAAAGTCCGAACTGATGGAAAGGGCTAGGCAATTCACATATACACTTCAACACCCCCTCTCACGTGTGACGCGGAAAGTCAACACGTGGACAGACTCAGAGGTATGGCTCAAGAGGCCTATACGTGAACACAAAGGGAGGAACAACAATTTTTAGATAAATTGCGAAAGCCAGGACTTGAACTCAAGACCTTAGCTCTGATACCATGTTAAGCTTTATGCACTAGCCAGCACAACCAAAAGTCCGAACTGATGGAAAGGGCTAGGCAATTCACATATACACTTCAACACTTTTGAGCATGGTTGTGATGGTTTTCGCCCGGTTTTTCACAAATTAACTGGGCAACTCTCTTCTTCTTAATTAATGGACGAGGCAAAACTTTTGCCTCTGTGTCAAAAAAAGTGTTTTATTCTGAAACCATTAAAAGGAAAATCAAATACCTTCGCAGTGTTGAAAACCACATTCTCGCAGTCAGGTAGGATGCTAACTGACCAAGCAGGAAGATCATATTGTCTGTTCCTGAAAGCGACAACGTTGTCCTTTTCTGAATCAATGTTAGCCAGGAATGCAACACATCCTCCTGAGTGATCAGTGTAAACATCAGCCTGCAAGCAGAAGTTGATATTAGCACAGGTTGAGGTTGACTTAATGATGTAGTCAATACGTGGGCTATATATAAAGCAGCGTGTATCATGTAAACACAAGGTGCTATTTACAACAGAGATAGATTTTACTACTTAATTTTAGACTCAAAAGAGAACAAGCATGTAGATGTAAGTGTATCACATAACTGGGTCGGTGCAGCATTAGATCAATTATAACCCAACAGAAGGCAATAAAGCTTACCTCTTGTTGAGGTCCAAGAGAGAGTAACGTTGAGTTTCCAGAAAGCAGACTATGTTCACACAATTTTATAGATTTGTGAAGCTCCTTCAGATGTGCCCATTTTGGAAGTCGTTTAAGGCCTGAAATCCATATCAAGGAACAATGTTCAGATGGTTCTAGGCACAAGCTTATTGATGGACCCAAGATCAATAGAGCCTAACCATATTCATCAATTGGTGCATCATAGTCATAGCTAGTTGTAATGAACGGCCCTCCAGCAGTACGATCAAAGTTCGTTCCACCATGGTACTTCAAAAGGACAATGAAGACTTGATCAATTTCAGTAGGATGAAATCATCATCAGTTTCCGATCAGAAAAAAAGATCATCATCATCAGTTACGCTATCAGGTATCAACTGAAATATGATTTCAGATGTTTGACCGTAATATCAGAGTGTCTTTGTCAAGTTAGAATATGAGATGTGGTATCCCATGTGAATTTATAATACAAGAAAAGTTAGAATATGAACTGTGCACAAAGCAATACCACATAGTAATTCTGAACGCTGCCACCTTTCCCAAAAAAACGTGCAACAGAAAACGCAACATCCTCAGGGGGTCTGTGGGGGTTACTTTCACCAAAAGTCTGGAACCTAAACAAAAATTGAAATAAATAAGATGCAGGAGATGCTTTCCATAACGTGTTATGAAAAATAGCAGAAGTAACTGTAAATTATAATCGGTAACTAATGAAAGTGTGTCAAATGCATTACCATCCTGGCCAATTCTCTGTCCAAATTTTTGGCTGGGTTGGCAAATTTGGCTTGAATTGATCGCAGTAGAACGAATTACAGGTGTTTATCTGCAAATGTCAGTTGCATCAATGAATCGATCTGACCAAAAAGAACTCGTATGACATGCCAATTGCAACAATTACCAAGCTCATACATGTATATCTATCAAGATACTGCTAATCACATAACAATGATTTTTGTTATGAAGACATACCCATGACTATTTGTGCAAGTGCACTCTTACAGTCCTGATTCCTAAGAGCGGCAGTAGTTCTATGTCATTAATAACGAAGCTACATCTACTGATTTTTTATTATTTTTTTGCGGGAGAAGCTACATCTACTGATGATCTGCTGTTTAGTGTTTTACCTATTGTAATGGCCCTCAATTAGAACACAATTTCAGGAGCAAGCCATCATTCATAAAATACACCATTAACAACAACAAAAATTGCAGCTGGGCTTGTCATTCAAAAAAATTGATGGCATACGATGCAATTTGAGTGAAAACATGTATGATGAGGTAAATCCATGTCTTCACTGTTTTTTTAAAACACAAGGCACTGCATGTGAGAAACTAACCACATGATCAGGAACATCGTACTGCTGACACATGATCCAAGGGACGCCAGTGTTCTGCGCCAGAGCCATACTACCTGCCCACATTGCATATGCCTTGCCACCAGCTCCATACGCTTGTTGATAATACCCATACTCATTTTCAATCTGGAATGCACAAATTTTCAGTTTCAGACAATCTAATCCTGTCAGTTGTGAAAAAGATCGATCTCAAAATTGATGGAATCACAACCTGAGCTAGGATGATGTGCCCTCCCTGCGAAGCGAAGAACCGTTCTTCCTTCATCATGTCCACGATTTTCGTCGTGAAGCTCTTCATGTGAGACTGCATAATAACGAGTGCCACTTGGGTTATCACCCGAACCGGGCAAATGTACCACCAAACACTCCAGAATTCACAAGCCAGCCTCACCTTGAATGGCTCGTTGTTCGTCCGGAACACCGTTCCAGGTATGTAATGCAGCCACGCAGGCACGCCCCTGAAACCACACACAGAGCTTAAACTGTTCATTACACCACAGAAATGGAGGAGATGGCAGCAAAAATTTAGAGCTGCGCCAAGACAGAGACGGTGAAAGGGAAGGAAGCGGACCCGAAGTTCCACTCGGCGGCGACGAAGGGGCCGATGCGCAGCATGAGGTAGAGCCCGGCGTCCTTGACGACCCTCGCGAACTGCACCAGGTCGAACCGCTCCTCGAAGTAGTACTGCAATCCATTCACCTGGTCTGTGAAGAACAGACGAAATGCAGCACAAAAATGAAGCGGCGCGGCGGCGGGCGGACCTTGCCGGGGGCGGTCTCGTGGCCGTTCCAGAAGACGTAGGTCTCGATGCAGTCGGCGCCGCCGTCCTTGGCCTCGGCCACCAGCTTGGGCCACATCTGCGAGCACGCGCAGCAGTCAGTCGAGGTCACCACTGGCGCTGTCCTGCTAATGTATGTGCTGGGGAGGGGCAGGGGCGTACCGCGGGGACGCTGCGGGGGTAGTGGATGGAGGCGGAGATGAGCAGGCGGCGGCGGCCGGAGATGACGAGGGAGCGGTGGTCGTACGTCACACCGGACGCGGCGGCGGCGAGCAACTGAAGCAGCAGCAGGAGCAAGGGGAGCAGCCGAGGACCGGCGGCGGCGGCCATGGCTGGCTGGAGTCGAGTGACGATGTGCGTACGGCGCGCCGGTGGCGGCTTAAATAGAGCGCAGAGCCGGTGTCAGTGCGCGGGGGAGTGTGGTGGGAGCGAGCGAGGCGCCGCGCCGTGGATGATGGATGGATGACAGCGATACGCCCGGGAATTATTGCGCCACGCGGTGGCTGGTGTTTTTCGTGGGGCGCCGGACCGGAGCGTGTTGTAGGGATTGGGTGCTCCAGACTCCCAAGTGCCCGTGCGGCGTGCGCTGCTGGCCGCGGTGTCCCAGCGGCCACACGCCACGGCGACGGCGGCCGGTCGAGATGGACACGGGAGGGAAAAGATGGGAAATCCTTTTGAATTTTGATTGCTGTGCCTGTGGGGAGCGGCCCGGCCACACGAGCGTGCGCTTCCCGTTCGGGGCGTGCGCAGCGGATGGGGGTGAGAGAGACGCGGGGTGTGGGAGGAACCGGGAATCGGGAAGCGTGGAGCGAGTCGGCGTGGCGTCGCGCCGCATGTGACCTCGGTCGGATGAAGGCCCACCGACCACCGTAGTCCCTGCCCGTGCCCGGTCTCCGGAACGCTGCCGGCGGTGCATCGACGTGGAACCGGAATCATTTGGAATTTTCTACAGGAAATGAGCCGCACGGCCCTGGTAAGCCGGAGTAGCAAATAAACTCTCTTTTTTTTACAATCATCATCTCCTCGTTTATTTCAAAAAGGCTCGTAGCATCGCTTTTGGCGGTCTCCATCCAGAGATGCCAAGGAGAAAATCTAGCTATTCTTGTCAATTCATGAGCTACTTGCATTCCTCTCGAAAAATTACAATGAGCATAGATGACATGAGTAAAGTTAAATGGCATAATTTTTTTTTTTGAACCATGCAGAAGGACTGCATGTATATTATTAAGATAGAGAGAAAAATACAACCGCCCACCAGTCCACATGATCCAGCTTACAACCTCCAAACGACCAAAAACTCAAGACTAAAGCAATATACCAAGGCTGTAACAAAATCACAAAAACTAGAAGCAGCAGCTAGTGGAGAACAAAACGGCCCATGCTCGCTTCTGCCCATAGCTTGTCATCAGCAATAATTTGATCAAAGATCTTCATCATTGGCATGTGAGAATTCTCAAAAACCCTACCATTCCTCTTCCGCCATATGCTCCAGGTGACCAGCAACACCAAGGTGTTTAGGGAGTTTCTTTTGGTTCCTTGAACTCTAGCTCTGGCATCTTGCCACCACTCTTCTAAAGTTCGATCAGGCTGAAGTAAAACTTCATTTATCCCTGCCCAATGAAGGATCAAACTCCATAAAATTGAGATTACACTGCAGCCCCAGAACAAATGGTGTGCAGTTTCCTGAATCGCATTACAGAAGCAACAAAGGTCATGGTGTGGAAGTCCACGCTTAGCCAGGCGATCAGCCGTCCATACACGACCTCTGATGACCAACCAGAGGAAAAGCTTGCATTTCAAAGGCGCCCAAGATTTCAAAATTGTGCAAGCCGTGCCACAAACAGATGAGGTGCTAAAGTGAGCCATGTAGACCGATTTCATCGTGAACTCGCCCTTGGAATCCCAAGTCCAAGTCCACTTATCCTCCATTCCTTGCACCAAGTGAACTTCTGAAATGATCTCCCACAAAGCCAAGAACTGGTGGAATGTACTAATGGTAATTTGTCCCTTAATATCCTTAATCCATGCTCCATTAATCATGGCTTCGGCCACTGTTCTTCTAGTTCTAACAACCGTCGGAACTGCCTGAAACACGTCAGGTGCGAGCTCCTCCACGACCGCTTCGTGAACCCATCTATCGGTCTAGAAGAAACATCTAGACCCATCCCCTAACTGAACCCGCGCCGCCGCATTGAAAAGTTGCCTCTCTGGCTTTTCCAAGGGATCCAGCAAGATGTTCCAAGCACGACTCTCTGCGGATCTCGCCTTCCATGCCCAATGCAGTCGAAGAGTCGAATTCATAATCTCAAGGTCCAACACACCTAAACCCCTGGTTTCCTTAGGACAGCAGATTTGCTTCCAACTGACCAAACGGCATAAAATATCAGTCATCAAATATAACAGGAGCTACTGAAGAGGAGTAACCATCAATTAGGGCAGCAACAACCTCCGCATTATCAGAGTTGACCTCGATCTTATTGCATCCAACTATATGTGCAAGGCTTGTTCCAAACCTCACTCCAACTACCCCTGCTGTGAATGAGTCAAAGCAAAGATCAATCTTTTCATTAGCGACTGCAATGAACTTTCCATGATGATCTTGGATGACCGTTTCAACCGTCCTCTGGAGAGTGTCCACATCAAAACACACATCAATGTTTGGTTTAATGTAGCCATGTCGTGGATTGTATGAGATAATATAGTTAGCTGCTAAACATCTCACCATCATATTAATTTGAGCAGCATTTTACGTTTATTTTGTTGTGGATCGTAGAATGCAATTTTAAAAAAAATCCTACACTCACACAAGATCTATCTAGGAGATGCATAGCAACGAGAGGGGGAGAGCATCTTCATACCTTTGAAGATCGCAAAGCGGAAGTGTTTATCAACGCGGTTGATGTAGTCGTACACCTTCACGATCCGTCCCGATCAAGTACCGAACGTACGACATCTCCATGTTCAGCACACGTTCAGCTCGATGACGTCCTCGCCTTCTTGATCCAGTAAGACGGGCGAAGTAGTAGATGACTTCTGGCAGCACGACGGCGTGATGACGGTGTTGGTGAAGAACAATCTCCGCAGGGCTTCGCCAAGCACTAAGGAAACTATGACGGAGGATAAACTAGAGGGGACGGGGTTGCCGGCACACGGCTTGGTGATTCTTGATGTGTTCCAGGTGCTAGCCCTGCCTCTCTATTTATATGTTGAGCCCTGGGGTTGAAACTTGAAGTAAAAGCCTCCTCAAAGTCGGTTTTTCCCGCAAGGAAGATTCCTTCTCGGACTTCCAGGACTAGACGCCAGGGTCTCCGGTGTTTGGCCCCCTAGCCTCCGCAAAACTCCTTTTGCACCGGCCTAAAACCCCGTGGGCTTTACCCCTTGGCCGAACCATATCATCCTATATATCAATCTTTATCTCCGGACCATTCTGGAGCTCCTCGTCATGTCCGTGATCTCATCCGGGACTCTAAACAACATTTGGTCACCAACATACATAAATCATATAGTACTATATCATCAACGAACGTTAAGCGTGCAGACCCTACGGGTTTGAGAACTATGTAGACATGACTAAGACACCTCCCTGGTCAATAACCAATAGCGGAACCTGGATGCCCATATTGGCTCCTACATATTCTATGGAGATCTTTATCGGTCGAACCTTATGACAACATATGTAATTCCCTTTGTCATCAGTATGTTACTTGCTCGAGATTCGATCGTCGGTATCTCCATACCTAGTTCAATCTCGTTACCGGCAAGTCTCTTTACTCGTTCCGTAATGTATCATCCTGCAACTAACTCATTAGTCACATTGCTTGCAAGGCTTATTATGATGTGCATTACCGAGAGGGCCCAGAGATACCTCTCCGATACTTGGAGTGACAAATCCTAATCTCGATCTATGCCAACCCAACAAACACATTCGGAGATACCTGTAGAGCATCTTTATAATCACCCAGTTACGTGACGTTTGATAGCACACAAGGTATTCCTCCGGTATCCGGGAGCTGCATAATCTCATAGTCAAAGGAATATGTATAAGTCATGAAGAAAGCAATAGCAATAAAACTTAACGATCATTATGCTAAGCTAACGGATGGGTCTTGTCCATCACATCATTCTCCTAATGATGTGATCCCGTTCATCAAATGACAACACATGTCTATGGTTAGGAAACTTAACCATCTTTGATCAACGAGCTAGTCTAGTCAGGCTTACTAGGGACACTGTGTTTTGTCTATGTATCCACACATGTATCAAGTTTCCGATTAATACAAGTCTATCATGAATAATAAACATTTATCATGATATAATAAAATATAAAATAACAACTTTATTATTACCTCTAGGGCATAAGTCCTTTAGTCTCCCACTTGCACTAGAGTCAATAATCTAGTTCACATCGTCATGTGATTTAACGCCAATAGTTCACATATTTATGTGATTAACACCCATAGTTCACATCGCCATGTGACCAACATCCAAAGGGTTTACTAGAGTCAATAATCTAGTTCACATCGCCATGTGACCAACATCCAAAGGGTTTACTAGAGTCAATAATCTAGTTCACATCGCTATGTGATTAACACCCAAAGAGCACTAAGGTGTGATCATGTTTTGCTTGTGAGAAAATTTTAGTCAACGGGTCTGCCACATTCAGATTCATATGTATTTTGTAAATTTCTATGTCTACAATGCTTTGCATGGAGCTACTCTAGCTAATTGCTCCCACTTTCAATATGTATCTAGATTAAGACTCAGAGTCATCCAGATTGGTGTTAAAGCTTGCATCGACATAACTCTTTACGATGAACTCTTTATCACCTCCATAACCGAGAAATATTTCCTTAGTCCTCTAAGGATAATGTTGACCATTGTCCAGTGATCTACTCCTGGATCACTATTGTACCCCTTTGCCAAACTCATGGCAAGGTATACAATAGGTCTGGTATACAACATGTCATACTTTATAGAACCTATGGCTGAGTCATAGGGAATGACTTTCATTCTCTCTCTATCTTCTGCCGTGGTCGGGTTTTTAGTCTTACTCAACTTCATACCTTACACCTCAGGCAAGAACTCCTTCTTTGACTAATCCATTTTGAACTCCTTCAAAATCTTATCAAGGTATGTACTGATTGAAAGTCTTATCAAGCATCTTGATCTATCTTTATAAATCTTGATGCCCAATATGTAAATGCTACCTCTTGAGCACTTCCGTTGGTTTTCCCTTTAAGAGGAAAGGGTGGTGCAGCAAAGTAGCGTAAGTATTTCCCTCAGTTTTTGAGAACCAAGGTATCAATCCAGTAGGAGGCTACGCGCGAGTC